AAAGAGGATACTTCTGACAAGATGGATGGTAAGACCTTCTTTTTATAATTATACTACACATTTATAGCTCTTAGGTCCTTGTTAATTTTTCTCTAAAATTTAGGAAATATGCTACTTATTTACCAAGATTCTTAATGTGATAATGGCTGCATGATTCTCAGGTTGAATTTTGGGTTTAGGTGTGGCCATTTTTGTTTGTTTGTTTGTTTGTTTTTCTTTTTTGGGTCTGGTCATGGGGCCTGAACTCTGGGGGATGCTGTCCCTTAGCTCTTCAGCTCAAGGCTAGCGCTCTACCACTTGAACCACAGCACCACTTCCACCTTTTTTTTCTTTTTGCTTATGTGGTGCTGGGGAATCAAACCCATGGCCTCATGCATGCAAGGCAAGCGCTGTACCACTGAACCAACTCCCAGCCCCAATGTGTGGCCATTTTTGTAGTGCTTTATTTACTCAAATAGTACCTTTCTTTTTGCTGTAATATAATCAGTTGCCTTAAACATTCTGCATGACCTATTTAGAAATATTTCTCTGAATATGCTTAATTTTTTGTTCTGTCTACAATATTTTACTCAGAAAAATGGGGAAAAAAATCACCTAAGTCATTTGATCCAACACTTTAGTTTACTAATTCTGATGTAAAGGAACAAATGACATTTGACAAATTCAAATGATATTTTAGTCCTTGCTTCAATAGCAATCCTTGGTCTGATTCTAGCAGCACGTTACTTGTACTTTCTCTTCAGTCTGTCAGATTCCACAGTTATCTAGAAGTAAGCCTATAAGTCACTTAATGAGATCTATTTAAAAGTGAAACCCGCTGTCAATTATCTATGAATTTTTAGCATTGATATCTATATCTTCCACTTTAATGAAATGGGACATTATTTAATCTTGAGTTGAGTACATGTATATCAATTATATTAATATCTCTATTATATGATCAAAGTGTTTCATAAAAAAGTGTGAATGAAATGACACTCATCAACAGATGCGTTCTGTATATCATACCCTTGATATCCCTTCTATCACTCTAATTTCCTACATTCTCTAGAAAAAGTTTTTTTATCACTTTCTGATTAAAATATTTTCTTATTTGGGTGAGGAATATCAACTAATGTGAGAAGTCACCTCTGTCACCTGAAGTGTTACTTCCCCTAATGTTCAATCATGTATTTTCAAAACTACACATGAAGGCATGCATATTATTCCCTGTATTAAGGAGTTAACATTTGCTCTTGATCATTGTTGGTAGATTTCAGTAACATCTTAGGGAATTTACACAAATATTAAGTAAAAACCTGTTTAATCAGATTGATAATTCTTTAACTGCATATATAGCTTGGTGAAAAGTCTGGGTAAATGAGGTCTAGATCCTGGATTAAATTTCCATACTTTTCTATTTGTTTTCTCCTCATCCTTTTATGGTCTACATTTTGAATATACACACAAAAATTATTTCCACTTTATTCTCATTCACTCGGGAATGGGTACTGATGTTTCATACCTATACTCCTAGCTGCTTGACAACAGACTAAGGATGGGAGAATTGCAAGTTGAGATCTGCTGGAACAGAAAAGTTCCTTCTTGCCAGGTGTTGGTGGCTCAATCCTAGCTACTCAGGAGGCTGAGATCTGAGGATCACAGTTCAAAGCCAGCACGGGCAGGAAAGTCCTTGAGACTCTTATCTCCAATAAACCACTAGAAAACCAGAAGTGGCACTGTGGCCTAAGTAGTAGAACACTAGCCTTGAGCTGAAGAGCTGAGGGAAAGCACCCAGGCTTAGAGTTCAAACCCCATGATTGACATCCCCCCCCCCCCAAAAAAAAGTTCCTTCTTAAAAATCGTGCTAGAGGCATAGCTCAGTGGTAGAACACCTACCTAGCAAGCATGAGATCCTGAGTTCAAACCAAAGTGCTGTGCTCCCCCCCCCAAAAAAAAACTTCATTTGTACAGAAGAGTAATTAGAGTTGTATTTCTTGAGTGATTAATTTCTCCATTTTCTCTCACCATTTCAAATTTTATCGGGGAAAGAAGTAAAAATTCATTAGAATGTTACTATTTTAGTTGTTTATTTTCACTTTTTGTGTGCCCTGTGAATCAGATTATCTCAATTATTATTAAATTCTGTTACACTGAAAAGTAGCTGTTTTGTTTTCAATTTTTCATTTTACTCTCGGGCCGGGGGATGAGGTAGCAGCATTGGCAGAATGTGTTGAAACACTGTTTTATTTCTCTTATTTAGGAACAGCATCTGAAGATGGTAAGAAATATACATTTGTTAGTAATGTAAATACTTCTACATTACTTTCTTCCTTCATAGGAATTAAATATTAAAACTAAAACAGGCTAATTTATTTGCAAATCTTCATAATTTGCCAGTTCTACATTTGATTGTCTTAGTTATGTATGGATTTTTTTTAATTCTTCATTCTTCAGTTCTGCTTTTTATATTGGATCATCTCACTCCAGAAAAACATGTTTAACACATTTAATACTATCATAGAATTAATACTTGATTTCATCTATTCCATTAATGATGTTAAAATTGTTTTGGGTTTTGTGTTTTTAGTTAATGATGATTCGTTTTTATTTTGCAGGAGCATGTGTCATAGCTTTGGAGTTTAAAAGCTTTATAGTGTTCTTTGAAATGTACCTTTTATTTTAAAATCAGTAACTAGAAAATGGGTTCCCTTGTTCAAAGTGAATTTTATATTTATTCTGCCCCAGACTTAGTAGAGCCTCAACTTGAAACACATTATTTCTCTACTGACTTTTTCGTAGATGACATTTTCTTATGTCCAGAACTAAATAGGCTTAACTTTTTATGGTCTCATATTTACTAAATTGTATTGATTCTAAACTTTACAATTAAGCTGAGGTATCCATAAAAACATGATTTCTGACACTGTGGCACCTAATGGCAGCTTATAGTAATTTGGTCTCTTCATTTTAGTTACTATTTTTGAGGGCATTATATCCTACGTAAAACAGGCTTTGTAAAAGACCTAAAACTGTGGGCTCCTTATGGTCCTTGAAGTTGGTGGAATGCTAGGACCCTTCCAATTTTACTGCTTATTTATATTTTATTCTTAATTCTTATCACTTTCTTCCCTCACCAGTTGATTAATTTTAAATTTATCCGTACTCCACTATATTTTTCCCTAGTTCATATAGTCATATCTGGCTAGCCAGGATTTTTTACATTCCATTCACTTCGTACAATTTCATTAAGAGGGATTCTGAGCCCTTCCTTTCCGGTACATTTGGTATTGGTTCTGATTCTTTGATGCTACTACACGAGAACATCAAAGTACCTGGTAATAATATGCTTTCTTTTTTCTCTTTTTTTTTTGGTCATGAAGCTTGAACCCAGGGCCTGGGTGCTTTCCCTGAGTTTTTGTGCTCAAGACTTGAACTACAGCTCTACATCCAGATTTTTAGTGGTTAATTGTGAGATAAGTCTCACAGACTTTACTGCCTGGGCTGGCTTCAAACTGTGTTCCTTCAATCTTACTTCCTGAGTAGCTGGGATTATGGTAGTATGTCACTAGTGCCCAGCTAATATGTATTTTTTTACCACTTGTTTTTACTATAGTAACTTCCTGAAGTCCTGAAATAAACTTATTCCATTTGGTTTAAGAATTTCAGATGGAAAGGGAGGATATTTGTGGCCTAATTTTATAGAAAGCAATGAGGAAGTGGTAGGGGAAAAAGTAATACAGCCAAAAAGAAGAAAATAAATATACTGAGAAAAAGGCTGGCTCATATGATAAGTATTTCTTTTATTTGTTTTCTAAGTGGAATTGGCTCAGAAAGAAAAGGATTAAAGGCTATCCATATATATCTGTTACCTGATGTAAAAAGATTAATAAGCATTTTGCTGGGTGCTGGTGGCTTGTGCAGTCTACTCAGGAGACTGAGACCTGAGGATATTGATTGAAAGTCAGCCTGCATAAGAAAGTCCCTGAGACACTCACCTCCAATTAACCACCAAAAAAACAGAAATGGAGCTGTGGCTTAAGTGGTAGAGCACTATCTTTGAACTAAATAGCCCAGGGGCAGCACACAGGTCCTGAGTTCAAGCCCACGACTGGCACAAAATAAAGTGTGTGTGAGACACACACACACACATATATATGTATATGTATATTTATATATGTTATGTATATATGTATACATATACATGTGCATATATATAACATTTTTCCAGTATTTCCTGCCATTTCCTTTAAAGGTACATTTTTCAATAAAAATGATTGAGTTGTTGTTTCTAAGATTAGCTTTATATTTAAAACTATAAAATGGACTTGAATAATCTAAATTTCCTAGAAATTGTAATTACTAACTCGTAAATTAAGAATGGAAATCTAGCTTTGCTTTATTCTTCCCCTTGACAGGAAGTTAGTTTGTAATACAGCATGTTAAAACAAAAAACAATACAACAAATGGATGCTGATGACTCATACCTGAAAGGCAGAGGACAGAAGTGTAGTAGTTCAGGACCAGGCTGGGCAGAAAAGTTTGCAAGGCCCTTAGCCAATGACTGAGTATGCTGGTATGTTCCTTAATCAATAGCTGAGTATCCCAGCTACCACAGAACCCCTAAAATGGGTGAATAATATCTCAAAAGTAACTAGCACAATAAAAGAGATGGGGACATTGTTCAGCAGTGCCTACTTAGCAAGCACAAAGCCCTAAGTTCAAACCCCAACACTAACAAAGATGCTGGGGGAGGAGGAGAAGCAATATAACACATGAAAAACTATGGGTCTGGCCTTGCTGGCATATCTTAGAAACTGAGATGGGAAGTTTAAAATCAGTCTGAATGAAACTGTCTCAAAAAAAAAAAGAAAAATCTATGTAGTTCTAAACTGTTAAGAGAAATATAAAGGTTACACTATTAGAAAAGGTAATAGTACTTGAAGACAGTGAGTTTTCCTCTTAATGCTAAATATTATTATTAAAAATTATTCTTAATTACATCATACTTTATTCCTCAGGCCGGGTGAGAGCAAAGCTTTCAGCACCACTTGCTGGTATGGGAAATGCCAAGACAGATTCTAGAGGAAGAAGCCGAACAAAAATGGTGTCTCAGTCTCAGCGTATGTACTATTTATTATTGGTCTGTTAGGATAAGAGTGTTACTTGTGTATTACCATATTGGGAAATTGGCCAGTGGATAAATCAAAGCTAATTTGACAAAAGGCAAGCCACATACTGAGTTCTTGTTCTGTACTTTAGGTTCTTCATCACCTGAAAAAAATGAAGGTATTTTTTTTTTCAATGTTTTGAGTCAGTTGTTGTGCATGTTTTGGAATTTTTTGAGTGGGTGTTGTCTTGTCTTTATGTTATTAGGACCACATCATTGGTATCTATCACTTAGAAAGAAAAACCTCATCTACTATCCAACTTTTGCATGGACATACTTTTAAATAACACAATTTTTAGCATTAAGATTTTCACATTATACTCAGAAACTTGCAAATGTGGAAAATTTTGTCTTTCACAGGCAAAATAATTGCCATCAGAATCTGGTTGCACCTTACTAATGCAACTCAAAAACAGTAAACTGGTATCTTCTTATTCTCCCCAAAATATATTAGAACATTTTATGTTTAGTTAGTATTTTTACAGACACACTTGTAATGAGCAAAATCAACTTTAATGACCAATTCTTCTGTGTTCCATTTAAATTTAAGATTTATATTTTTGCTGTATTATTGAAAGCTGAGTTCCTAATAAGAACCCTAATTAAACAGCACAACTTTAGGTGTAGATAAAATGAACTGTATTTCTATACGTACCAGACTGAGAACACATACATTTTTGGCATTATTAACTTTAAACTATTTGTTCCCATTTAATTTTTTACTAAGAGATTTTTATTAGCATTACTCTATAATCAGGAATTTTTCTAGGGAAATAGTTGTGGAAGTTATCTATATATACTTGATTATTTTGGAAAAAATAGATTTAACTGTCTTTGTGGGTGTCCTGTCTGCTTTTTTTAAAGTCTTAATTTCTTGGATCTTGGCATCAAAGGGCCAAGAGAACAGAATGTTAATTACCCACCCTCATCTTGCCTCAAAGTTTCTCCTTTTCTCAGAGTCAGAAATATCCAGGCAGAGTACTAATAGGAACACTCAATAGTATCCCTAAAAATAAGCAGAAATACCCACTAAAGTTGATTTTCCACTTGGAGATTACTTACAATTAGGAAGAATAATAAGTATCTGGTAGGCAAGGGCTTTTCTTTCCGGCAATCAAGAGTACATACTATTACATTCTTTCCCAAGTCTATGTGTTTTGGAATGATTTTTAGAGTACATTAGTCTGTGTATTAGCATTAGCCTAGTAGTTGGGAGCCTCACTCTTCCATATATATTACAAAACCAGCGTCTGCATCCCCTGGGTTCCAGTTAGAAAGAAATGCAGAATCCCATCTACCATCACAAATCAGTAACACTGATCTTTAACAGGACCATCAAGTGATTTGTGTTGTAGAAACTTTAAGAAATACTGATTTAAACCATAGACTCTCAAGCCATACTGCCCAGGATGGAATCCTTGCTCTTGTAAAGTAACTATTTGTGCATACTTTCCTATAGAATGTAAAGGAAAATAGCATCTACGTCATAAGACTGAATATTGTTGTATCTTTAATACACTTGAAACAGTACTTGGCCCAGAGTAAGTACTCTATACAGAGCTAGTTAAAATTTGTCCTAGTTATGAATATTAATCATATGTCAACTCAGTTTTACACTGCTTTTATATATTTCTGTACCTTCTTCATGAGAGAAAGAAAAATAGATAATGGTGAAGGTAGGGTATTTAAAGCATGGGAAACTAAAGAAAACCAGAAACTGTCCATGTTCAGGGTCTAAAGATAAAACATAATTGTGAGGTATTAGTGGTCTTCTAAAGTAATACTAAGGTTGATCTTAGAACATTCTAAGAAGAATGTTTCCAAAACTGGGAATGTTTTTTTTTTTCCTGGTTTTAAATATTATTAAGAATCTGCCTTTTCATACATATTGTAACTTAGATCACTTCATTAGAAAATAGAGCAGTAACTTTGCATTTGATTTTTACTTTGAAACTTGATCCACAATACTCCAAATCCTCAAAAGTATGCGAACACAATGATTTGGCTTTTTAGATCTAGTAGGACCTTGAAGATCAGAAGTCTTTCCCCTATAAATTACTTAGGTTAAAAAATAAATAAAAAATACTTAGGTTAAAATCATCACATTAGAAAGCTTTTGTTTGTTTGCTTGCTTGCTTGAGTAATAACATACTGCATTCCAAAATCTTTTGTGAAAAAGATAAATACTTTGTATGCAAGTTTCTTTTATAACATATTTGTACAGAAATATCACCGTGGTTTCCATCTTCACTTTGTTGTGAAGTAATTCATAAGGGATTGCATGGTCTTTCCGTGTTGTTTTTATCATCATTTAGAATAATAATAACTCTTGGATCAAAGCAGGTGTGTTCTAATGGCTAACCAAAATAAATGAAAACAGACCTATGGAGAAACTAGTAGATTTATATTCATGAAAGAATTGTCCCTTTTTTTGTTGTTTCCCACTGGTTGTGTACAGGTGATTGTAAAGCCTGTGGTGAACTTTGTCTCCCCTTCTCTCACCTCATCTTTCATCTGTTAATCTTAAGAGAGATGAAATTTGTAGCTTTTTCATTTATTTTTCTTCAGCTATGTTACAATTGTTCCTACATCTAGTTGTCAACTAATTTTTTAAATAAAAAACATGTAATATTTGGACTAGCACTAATAGAAAAGCTGAAGAATTATATTTATTTTTGCAATTTCATTTCATCTGCTTTGTACATGAGTGATTTCTGTTTTTTAGCTGTGAAAACTACTAAGTATATACTACTTTTGTTACAGACGTCTATGCTATAGGAGTTTTTTAAATTTGCTTTTATTTTGGTGTTAGGTGTTTTGTTTTGCTAAGAACTGACTAAGGCTTTTTTATTTTCACCTGCCATTCCATTTAAAAACTGCTTTTTCCCTCTTCATGGATTATAACCCTTACCCTAACTCTGCCTTTACACTTGTTCAGGATCACAATCTGCTAATACCATTGGTGGTAAGAATCTATAGACTTTATGTGTGCATCTCTGTCTGATCACCTTTATCCATTACCAAAACTGGGTTCTATTCAGCAGAAATTCTTAAATAATGTTCTGTAATCCCATTATTCTGTATTCATATTGAAGCAAAACCTGTCAGGGTTTTTGTTTGTTTGTTTGTTTTGGTATGTGTTTATTATATTGCCAAAAACCTGAATTGTTTTAATTGTCTGAATCAACCCTACAGATAAGATGAACATTCAAAAAAAAACCCAATACCTTTGGGGTTTGAAAGTGCCTCAAACTGTATAAAATGGTAGCTCACAGAGAAAAGTAGATATACAATTTCAAGCTTAGCAGTTAGGTTGTTTTCTGTAAACATAGTACTTCCTGGGTAGACCAGGCCCCTTTCATCAACTCTGTGGTTTCCTAAAGGAAATAATTAGCCTTGGTGGTTCTTCACTGGAAAAAGAATCTTGGTATTTTCTTCCAAGTATAAAGAATTCCAAATAGACTATAGGCACCAGAATGATCACAGTCTTGGTAGGGATCAGAAGGTATTAGAGAAGGAGAGGATAGTGATTAAAACCAATTTTATTTCATAGAAATGGGCATGAACTTAAATGGGCATGAACTTAAATATCTAGAAAGAAAGCTTGTGTGGTTTTTAATAACTTCAATAAATCTAGCATAGAAAGTGCAATTGATAGCTGGGTGCCGGTAGCTCACACCTGTAATCCTAGCTAATTAGAGTGCTGAGATCTGAGGATCATGGTTCAAAGCCAGCCCAGGTAGGAAAGTCCATGAGACTCTTATCTCCAATAAACCACTAGAAAACGGGAAGTGGCTCTGTGGCTCAAGCGGTAGAGCACTCACCTTGAGCTGAAGAGTGCAGGGACAGTACCCAAGCCCAGAGTTCAAGCCCCACGACCAGGGGGAATAATAAAAGTACAATTGATGTGTTTCTAAACTGTGTGTTTCCTGTCTGCTGAATAGAACCACTTTCCAAAGAATTCTCCAATCTCTCCTATCAGCACCTCCACTTCCACAAGTTTATATTGATTTTAAAAAATTACCAAATATTGTATGTGCTCAGTTTGTTCCTTATTTTTTTATATTGTTGCAACTTTACCCATGAAATATTCCATTGGCCTATCTTGCATTGTGAGTTTGTGGCATGTTGGGTGTTTGGATGTTGTGGTGTGTATGTTTAGTTTAGATACTGCATGGAGAAAGCAGGTGCCTCAACTATCCCTAAGGTTGTAACAAAAAGAAACCAGACTTGAAGATTCTTGACCTGCAACATCATGGAACATTCAAATGATCAGTCATTTTTAAGTAGACTTGAGTAATTGCTCTACAATAATTCAGAATTCCTTCTGCTCATTTGGTAAATTGTTAATTTCACTGGGAACACTACTTTGTTTTGCAATATTGCTTTCACCAATGAAAGATAAGATTTATTTTGTATGCTGATAAAATTTAAGAGTTAGACAAGATCATAAACTATACAAAGCAAGACCATGCCAAGAGCAACTATCAAAGGTTGTGACCTTTAATAGATCAGTAACCCCTTTGAACACCTCCACTACTCGAGTCATGTATCATTTGGCCAGCACAATATAAGAAAAAATCGGGAAGTTTGAGTGGACGAGTATTACATGGTTGGTAAAACATCTCCCTAACAAGTGCAAGACACTGAGTTCAGAACATACTATAATAAAGAAGAAAACAGAATCAGGTAAATAAAACTTCTAGTTTTAAAAATCCCAAGATCTAGTCAGTATTATAACTGGCTAGAACTGAAAAGTCACTTTTCCCTAAGGAAAGAGCAGATCTGTTGACCAAAGTCTGCTTACCCATTCCTTGCCCTGTTATCACTGTTCCTTTTTTACATGCCATGATTGTTCCCATTAGCACTGAATTCATTAATCTGCTTATTAGAAATGAGGCATTATTGGGCAAAATTACATATGGGGAACAGTGACTCTCTTGTTATTATAAGTGGTGTCTAAAGAAAGGAAAAGGTTGCTTTGTGAAGATTTATTTAAATGTAAGTTAGTTTTTGTATGTTATCATTCAGGATCTAGATTCCAGAACCTAATTCTAACTCTAGATTCTGAATGATTCTATCTGGCAATTACCTAGTCCATTTTCTATTCAACACTGTTCAACATAAATATAAAGTGTTTTGATTGACAACAGGATTCATCCCTTTAAAAACTGATTGGCAACAGGATTCATCCCTTTAAAAATTAACTTGGGGGCTATGAAAGTGGCTCAGTGGTAGAGTGTTTGCCTTGCATTCATGAGGCCCTGGGTTCGATTCCTCAGCACCACATAAACAGAAAAGGCTGGAAGTGGTAGAAAAGGCTCAAGTGGTAGAGTGCTGGCGTTGAGCAGAAGAGCTCAGGGACAACATCCAGGCCTAGAGTTCAAGCCCCATGACCAACCAAGAACAAAAAAATTAATTTGGGAGAGAGTTATTGGGAAGATTGAAGTTTTAGGCCAGGCCAGGCAAAAAGTTGGCAAACCCCCATCTCTACCAATAGTTGGGTCTATAGTGTGTGCCAGTTACAACAGGAAGTACAAGTAGAGAGAGCATGGTCTATGCATGCTGGCTTAGAAAAAAAAACTGAGACTGATTCAAAAATAATCATACCAAGGGCTGGAATTGTGGCTTCAGCAGTAGAGCACCTGCTTAGCAAACATGGAGCCCTGAGGTCAACTCCCTGGTAACACACATATAAGTACAAGTATATACATGCATATATTCATGCATGAACTGGGCATGGTGGATCACATTTGTAATCCCAGCATACAAATTCATGTTTCTTTTTTTTTAACCTACGTCCAAGTCTCTGAAAAGATTTTTTGTAGCTCTTTCTTTAGCTCATTAACCACATCTCCTCTTGACTTCCTGAACATTTGCCTTAATCCTGTTCTACTCTCAGTACTTGTGTATCCTAAAATAAGGCCACCCAAAAAACCTTTGCTATTCTTTTTCAGCTGAACTAACTTTGTCAATATTTAAGTTTTTTGTAAAAGTTGAAAATGAATATATGACATTACCCATTTAGAGTCATCTTAGCAGGCAACTATCATTATTATTACTTCACAAAAATAATAGCAGTAAGAGATGGGGATTTTCTTTTTCTTTAAATTTTTAACACAGCTAGGCACCAGTGGCAAATGCCTGTGATCCTATCTATTTGAGAGGCTGAGATCTAGAGGATCACAGTTCAAGGCTATCCCAGGCACAAAGTCTTCAAAAAAGCCAGTTAAAAGCCAGGCAGGAACTGTGATTCAAGTGGTAATGTATAGCTGAGCAAGCAAGTACAAGGCCCTTATTTCAAAACCCAGTATTGGCAATAATTATTATTTTATTATAGATTACAGAACATAGTAATCATATGAGCTATTTCATCAAATATATGATTAATTTGATTATTATTTACTTTCTAAAAATCATGATAGTAGCTGGGCACTGGTGGCTCACACCTATAATCCCTGCTACTTAGGAGGTTGAGCTCTGAGGATCATGGTTTGAAGCCAGCCTAGGCAGAAAATTCCCATAAGACTCTTACCTCCAATTAACCACTCAAAAACCAAAAGTGGCATTGTGGCTCAAGTGGTAGAGTGGTAGCCTTGAACACAAAGAGGCTCAGGAACAGCAAGCAAGCCTTGAGTTCAAACCCCAAAATGTACCCCCAAAACTAAAAATATAGCTTATATAGTACACTTTTTTTCCAGGTCATGATTATGTATAAATCTTCCTTGGCTCATTTTCTTTGAACTTAGAACCTGCTATACTATCACATGTATTTCTTGAAGGTTTTTTTTTTTTTTTAGTTTTATTCAATTCTTTTGGCGGTCACATTTTAATATATTTGTGTGTTTAATGTTTAGCTGGCAGCCGATCTGGATCTCCAGGACGAGTTCTGACCACAACAACCCTTTCTACTGTGAGCTCTGGTGCTCAAAGAGTCCTGGTCAATTCAGCATCTGCACAGAAAAGAAGCAAAATACCACGGAGCCAGGGCTGCAGCAGAGAAGCTAGTCCATCTAGGCTTTCAGTGGGTAAGATTTTTTATGTGAGAATGGCCATGCTTTATTTCTTGCATATTTGGCAACATTAAAGACTAGAATACAGATAGGCACTTTAGAAGTTTGAGGAAAATGGGCTGGGAAGGTGGCTCAGTGGTAGAGCGCTTGCCTTGCATGCATGAGGCCCTGGGTTCGATTCCTCAGCACCACATAAGCAGAAAGAAAAAAAA